TTTTATTGTACATTTTATAGCTATAAGCCTTTTATATACAAGGCTCCACATGGAATAGTGGCTGAAGCAGTACCACTGTTTTTCCTTCAGGAAAGACCTGGAGCAGGAAAAGGCTCTTCTCCATTTATCAAGCAGTCTGGGAATTGAAACTTGTCTAGGAAGAACAAATTGAGTACATAACTGGTGTTGGGCAAACGATCGTATTTAATGTATATAATTAGATAGATGTTTGGGTGGGATAAGGATCCCAACACATCTGGGAAGTGTGGAAGTCTACAATAAAACCCAATTATTCTGCAAAAGCCATGATATGCGATTGTATAATATTACTTTTAGAAGAAATGAATGCAGTTGTATAGTATTACTTTTAGAAGGAGAAGTGAAGACAACGTGGAAGCATTTTTATAATAAAATCTTATCTATGTTAACTCAAAACTGATTTCTTTCATCTGATTTGTTCCTAAAATAAAGTATGTTGGATATTAGTCTTAATTGTGTTAATAATTAAGTTTTGGGTACAGTTTATTTTTTTCAGAGATACGGAGATTTAAAAAATGTCAACTAATTGATCATACATATTTAGATGAAATATTTGAGATTAAAATTCTATCAGCTTCAGAAATTGTTTTTTTTTTTTAAATCCTTTTTCCATTACAGCTTTTTTGGATGGAGGAGAGAGACAGAGACACAGAGAGAGGGAGATGCTGGGTTTTCCAGATAGGAAAGGAACCTGCACAGAAAATAGTGTAGCTGCAATTGTCAGAATTCCAATTATTTTCCCCTAATACAAGGAGTGATTAGTATAAAATTATACAAGTGTTGAGAAACTGCAAGAAAAAACAATCTGGAAATTGAACATTAGACACAGGACATTGAAAATATTTAAAACTCAGATTACTTCCTAAAATCTTTAAGATTCAATTACAAAATATTTACTTTTGCCTGCAATTTAAATGGAAGCCATTTAAAGCAATTCTCCAATAAATATTATCACAATGCCCCTGCCCCATTTTGGCTTAATATTACAAGAACACAAACAACAACAGAAATAATAGAAACAAGTTTTCTTTATTAAACATAATTGTGGATCTTTTGCAGTCCGTAGTTCAAGTGTTAATTATACTGTAAATTATTTAGTGGGATTTTATGAGTTTTGAAGTACGTTGTTTGAAAATTGTATTTCATGAACAATACATTTCAGTTTTCTATATATTGAACATAAATTAGGTACATCAAAACATTATGAACATGAGTGGTAGATATATCTAAAGGTGCAAAAAATGAGGTATTGTACATTAAAACACATTATCATGCAATGTCATTAAAATAAAGTATCCAATATTTGTAAATTAATATTCTTTTAAATAATTTTTACTCTAAAATGGTTTCAAATAATTCTCTCTCCCCCCCTCCCCCCCGACAATCCTGCGGGATTTCAGATGAGTCTGGCCATACCACATGTAGTAAAAATATCAAGGAACACTTATAAATCTTATTATAAATTATAAATTGATGTAGTGATTACCTTAGTTCTACACGAAACTTCAAAATTTGCTAAGGGAAGTCTCATTTGCCTGAAAGTGGACAGAATGTATGTGTTGTGGAAGGCTAGCAGGGAGATTAAGAGGAAGATTGTTGTTGATTTTAGTAGCTCGTGAAACATATATAGCTATAAAGCTTCATAGCTAAACGTTTTGGTAAATCTTGTTTCTTCCAAGCTTTCTCAAAAGCTCACTAAAAGAATATGGCATTCCAGATGTGCTATAGGCCAAATACTCCTATAATATGCTTGTAAAATTTTAGAATACATTAAAACATCAATACAGGTATTTCAAATACCCTGAAACTGTGTACAAAGCCATTACCCATTGGGTGTAATATTCATTCATGGGCCTGTGTTATGGTTACATATATACTTATTTTGCTAAAGACCTACAGCTCTGCAGCGCTCCAATATTGGGCAGAGTATAACAAGAGACCTTCAAATAATTTCTTTGGAATGGTTGTAACAACATCCTGTTAAGGTTTACATTCTATTCCTAAAACCGACCACAGCTTCACAGTTTTTAGATCTTCCTGTGCAATTTCTTTAAAAGAGATGTTTCACAATGCAGATAGCATGTACTACACAACTTTTGTTCCTGTGTCTTTGAAGTGCCTCTTCTAAAGGATTTGCAAAGAAGCCCTCTGGCTTCCTGCAGATATTAGAAGTCTGCAATCTGAAATGGATATTTCCATTTTTTTCATGACTTTACTATTTCTATTTATTTCAAAACAAGGGTTTTTTTTATAGCCAAACGAACAAGTGACTTTTCACAAATCGCAGCTTTTTTCTCCAGTACATTAACCCCTGTCTCCGATAGTGAACTTTTTCTTATACCTTGGGAAAAACACTGGGGAATTTTGTAGTATGCCAGATTAAAATGTTAACATTTTAAAATGAAAGCCTTTATATACATTACATGTAATATATATTACAGTGAAATTTTCCAGGTGGACTTTCAGAAATGTATCCATGAATTATTTTTCAACTAACCCCTTGAGCTTTAGTTGAACAAAACATGGTAAAAGAATGCCAATATAAATATTGACTATTAAGCAAGTCAATAAAGCAGCTCACATAGGTTGATTTAATACCCAGTGACACAGCTTATCATGTTTTTCATACTCGGGGTCCAGTTGTCTGACTTCTACATCAGGGGAATTACAGCATTTGTAATCATTATAACATTACCAAGCATATTTGTTTCTATAAAAAAAAAACACAATAATTAGCAACATATAAGGTTAATATTTAGTAAAAAGAGATAAATGATGAGCTCTAATGGGGAATCTACTTTATTTATACACAAAGTGCTATTTTTAAAGGCTAACTTATTTGAAGTATTAACCATGAGTCAAATTGTTTATATATATAAGAGAGAAATTTCATGTTAAGCAGTTTCATGAAAAATCTCTGTGGATGAATTTCATTATTGAAGACTGCTGGTTTTAAATCAAACCTGAATACATTACTACACTAACTATTCAAACTAAATATCCAGTTGTCCTGGGATATTTAGGTAGAGCTGCAATTAAATAACTAATTGTAATTTTTGACTGATCTAGTTTTTGCCGGCAACCACCATAGTGAATTCCACAAACAAAAATCAGCATATTGACTTCAACAGACTGTAGAAAGTTTGCTATCAGCTTTGTAAATTAATGACTGGTGTAGACTCAAATCAAACAATTAATACAAACAAGTAAATAAATAGTAATAAAGAGTGGCAGAATAAAGAACTATCAGCTAAGCATGCAGTAATGTGTATCTAATCTGGAATATTCAGATTCTTTTCCATATGGCAGACTTCAGCTCAACTGACAAGAAAGTTAGTTCTTGATAGCTGACAGGTATCGGTTTCTATTGCCTTTAAATCTAGAAATTATTAATGTCATCCAGTTTTATTGCCATTTAACATATTTCACAAAATTCCAACTACTTAATGATCCTATGGAGGTCTAATATTCATCAATTCCACACAAAAAAAAACCCTACTTCACATGTTTTAACTTCAACATATATGAAAAATGTATGTTCAAATTGTCCAATGCTAATTTATCTTCAACTGCAGATAACACAGGTATGTAACAAGAAAAATTCTAAAACCAGACTTCAATGCCTGACTATTTTTGTGATTAAGTCTAACATGGACAAAATGGGAAAATAATATTTGTATATAGATTCTGAGTAAGAATGAATGTGCAAAATGTTGAAAGAAATTTACCAAAATGGACTTTTCTTTTGCTTAAGATCATGGATTTTCTGAGTTTATAGACATTTGCCATCCCTATCAGGCAGTATTTTTCCAGTTTTATTGAAAATGACCTTTTCTAATTTATGACCATATGAAGAGAAATACTCAAAACCTTCTCATTAACTGTATTTTTATAAGGACCTTAGTTCTGAAATGGACTGTTATTGAGGATCAAAGCAGATTCAAAATAACAACTCTCACCAAATTATTCACGGTGCATTGTTCATTTAAACCTCGTAAACAAGGATTTGCATTTCCTTTCCTGGGGTTATCATTGTTTTTCATTCTGAATATGTGGGAAAAAAATTGCCTGGGTGCATCAATACTTTGTAGTATTTGGTTTTCTGTGCAAATTTGCAGTAATAAAATCATTTCTTACTTATAAACGTTGCTCTCTTGAGCTGGAATAAATTGCCTAAATTAATCAAAGGAATAGACTATGTGCCGCTTGATGAGCTTTAGTGGATTTTTTGAGGTTAGAAAAACCTCAATGTACGTAGTTAACAGCAAGATTAACCAAATAGACATTTATTTACAAACTGTTTTACAGTTTTCCGTTTCATTTCTCTAAGAAGAAATGGCAAGTCACTTTAAGTATATCTAGTCATTTTGCTATAAGTACAGTACAAGAAAACTATTCACATATTTCACTAAAATGTTTAGCCATGGATTCTTTAGATAATTGTTCAATGTTAGCTAAAATGTTCCAATATATTATCCAAATAATAAAATGATTTTAGTAACATTAGTACTTGTAGTACTAATGGGGTCATCTGTTTATTAAGACATTTCAATTTGTCTTTTCAAGGAAGCAACATGACTTCTATAGGTCCTATGAATCCTATAGAATACAGTATATCATGGCAGAGTGAAGAATTGACAATCTACATACTTGATAAATCAGTGTTATATTTATTACCTGCTATTCCTGAGCTATCCTATGTGCCCAAATAGTACATTAAGTGAAAGGAGTAAAGTCTAACTGGATTTAAATTCCATTCTCGAAATTATGGATAGGCTTTGTGCTTAGAACATTTATGTACTATTATTATTTGTGGGGTTCATTTGCAGTCAAAGAATAGCTGATAAACAGATTATGCTAATGAGACTGAACAAATATACTTTATCCATGTGCAAAAGCCATGTTGTGCATGTGTAATACCCAAGTAGGACCCAAACCCATGAAAACATAGACAAGGGCAATTTGTATTGTTAAATGAAGGAATTTTATTAAAATGGGATCAGAACAGTCAATGCAATAGCTAAACAGCTGCAATAACGCTAAAAATTGAAAACGAAAGACTATGCTGTAATCCCTCCCCTGTAATATTGCAAAACTGCTTTCTTTCAAGATTTCAAACATCTAAAGGAACAACGCTGCTATAAATTATTCTAGCTGACAGAACAATTGTGCACAACTCTTCAAACTCTAGATATCCAATGAAGTGGAGCCAGCAATATTCTATGATGAAGGGTGGGGTGGAGGAGAGAGGCCTATTATTTAGCTGGCAGATTATTTGAAATCTCAGCTGCAGCTGTCAACTCTGTTGAAAAACAGGCTGGCCACTTGAGTGTCTAGAGAAGCTTCCGCTATATGTGTATTTGGTTCCTCTTTTCTATCCATACACCTATGGCAGATCACCATATTTCCAAGTGAGCAAATGGAAAATGAGAAGTAAATGATACAGAATCTTACCTAACTAACCTGATTCTTCAAAGAGCCTAAGGAAATAGCTATGCTGTTTTCAGAGCTTGATTGTTTCTAAATTCCTACCTATGAATTGAGTATGACAAGTAAAAAATTCATAACCACACGGTGGTTGAACTTCTTCTGACAAGAGCTTTCCCTTTCTCTGGCATTAAGAGTAGACCAATAAAGTAATTAAGAATCTGCTTCACCTTTCATGACATCCTTAAGCTTCATGATATCCATAAGCTTCTTCGTTCTGTCAATATGACATCTGGCTTTCTTTGAAGTGTTATTTATTTTAAAAATACTGTAAATGCTCTACACGAAGGTGTCAAATTTTCAGAGACATCTTAAGGTATCAGTAATGCAATTCCAAGCATGCTTAGTCTGATCAGCCAGCGCACTGTTCAACATGTTGTGATGACATAGTGAGGTCATTAAAAGTGGATGAAATATTTCAGCATATATTTTCATTCTGGGAGGTTCAGGCAATCAAAGGACAGAAATGTAAGCCTATGTTTCCAATTCCGCCCTTAAAATTGTACCTACTCCAAAGGAGCAAATGAATCGACCATTTTGCAACTAAACTCAATTGTATAATCTTGCTTGCTGTTGCTCTACAAAGCTCTCTGCCATTGGCAGACTGCCTACCCCTTCTTGCAAGGGACAATTCATAAAACATTCATAGTAATTAATAAGTGATATAATAAATAAACAATAACCACTTAAGTTTTCTGTTGGCAAGAAAATAGCATTAATAAAGCTCTTTCCTGGTACCTATGAAAGTTAGAATTGTATAACAAATTTAAACCTTAACATTGTTATCTATGGTTGTATAGTGTGGTTTGTATGCATTAGCTATAATCTACGATTAGGTAGGAAATATAAAATTCAGCTCACAATTTGCTGTATTAAAAAAAAATTACTTTACAATGTATCTATATTATTCTTTAGTGCAGGGTCTAAATTCCCAGTCTGTGGCCCGTTGGCAACTGGTCCACACAAGTGGTGGGTGAATGTGTGAAGCTCTTTTTGTGCTTGCACAGGATTAGGTTGCATGCGCGAAATCATCCCCTCCCCTCACTGCTGGCTGGCCGCCACCGGTCCATGGAGCTGGAAAGGCTGGGATCCGCTGTTTTAGTGCACAGGTCTCCATTTGTAACTATGCATTATGTATCTGTTATAGAGATACTGTATATACTAAAATGCAATGACCCATTTACTTTTGTAGAAATAGTTACAAAACTGGTAGAGAACAATGTCTTTTATCACAGCTAATCACATCAAATTGCATGTCTTTTTAAAAAGTCCTTGCATTAGTTCCTCTGGTAGGTGACTAATGCTAGATCCATTGTGGGGGAAAAATAATAGCAAGATGTGATTATATTTCTATTATTAGCATGCCTAGAAAACCTGAACCTCATCCGCCTCAACTCCTCGAATGTTTATCAACTGCTAAAAAGCCAAAGAGAGAAGGAGCAGAAGAAATGGGCTTCCCTTCTCACCTTCTTTTGGCCATTTGGCAGCAGATGGCAATATTGTAGTGAAGGGATTTCAAGAGATGCACCTGCACCATTCTTCAACTAAAACCACAGGATATGTCCCTTCGTCTAGTTCAGTGATGGTTAACCTTTTTGCCATTGCGTGCCAAAAGCAGGGGGAGCATGGTGGGGTTGCGCGTGTGCATGCCCACACCCATAATTCTATGTGTCCCCCCCCCGTGCATGCACGAGCAACCCCCTCTGCGCTCCCACTGCTTTTGGCACGTGATGGCACAGTGGGCCTGGTAGGCCCGTTTTTCGCCCTCCGCAGGCTCTAGAGGTTTTCTAGGAGCCTGGAGAGGGCAAAAATGGCCTTCCCCCCCCCGGAGGCCCTCTGGAGGCCAGAAACGGTCTGTTTGACAACATTTGGGACTGGAAGGCCCGAAATCAGCTGGCCAGCGCACACGTGCACCAGAGCTGAGCTCGCTTGCCCACTGATATGGCTCCGTGTGCCACCTGTGGCTCGCGTGCCATAGGTTCGCCATCGCAGGTCTAGTTACTTCTATGCAAAGTTCGCAGGCACCTAGAAAAAATACATTTCTTGGGAGAAATAGTTTCCATTGCAGCAGACATTTTTTGTGGCCAGGAAAATAAGACAAGTGAAAAAGGAGCAGCAGTTAGAATGCTGCAACAAAAGAATGTCTGGGCCCATTCTGCTTCTTATGAGATTCGTAGATACTTAAACAGACTGCAAATTAGGTTTAGAACAAAATGCAAAATAAAGCAAGGTAGGTTTTTTGTTTTAATGCATAAAGCGATTTTCTCAGGCCCAGTTGGAAGAGTTTGCCCATCACTAGCAAAAATAAAAGTACCACATCATGTAGCTTATAATGGAATAACAAGAGTCCATGTGAAAAGTTTTTGACACTCAAAATTGCAAAAGATTATTGTGTTTTAAATGGCTCAACAAAAAAGTTTTGCTTTTTACTAAACTTGCTTGCATGGAAGCAAATTTAAGTTGATTAATTTTTATACTTATGGATTTTTTTTTAACAATATAAACAACTTTGAGTGATCATAATGGGGTGCTTAAGAATCATTAAACTGCATCTTTGTGAAAAGAAATTGAATCGAGCCAATATATAAGTAGCTTTTATAGGTAAAGGGCTGCCTTGCTAGTGAATTAAACATTTCTTTGCCAAACACAGGACTTTTCCAAGCCAACTAATCATGCAGGTCAGGCGCTTCATTGCTAGGCTGCACAGGTGATTGGATAAAAAAAGACACAACTTGTGTAATTATCCTCCATGGCCCAGCAAGAGAGGCCTATTCTCCTTCCCGCCCCCCCCTCAGCTCTAGAGATCTTCACAAGGTTAAGTGAGGGATTGTGGGGGGGGGGGGAAGAAGGACCATGTGGGGGGACAAAGCAGGTCCAGTGTCCTTGGGGACCCGGCAGGACAGGGTGTGTTTGGGGAGAAATAGCTGGGTACACTACAGCATCTCTGCAAATGACCAGGTGGGCTTTGCAGAATTTGTAACTTTGAAACAGGGTCATATGTCATTTTGGGGGAGTCTGGTATAACTTCAAATGTTTGTTAAATGACCTCCTGTACCTTGAGGACTTGTACCCAAAAGACTAACAATGAATGTTTGTGAAAACATATTCTGAGCCTGTTCTGAGCAGTAAAATATTTTGCTAGATCATTTTCTTAAAAAAAAAAAAAAAAAAACACCACCCAGCAAAACATTCTGATATTTGGGACAGAACTAAATCTGGCTTCTAAGCTCTCTGTATTAGGAACAGCCCTTCCCCCTTTTTTGCAGGTTAAACTATTTTATGAGTAAATTGAATTTAAATTTCCCAATATTTCAATTTTAGTTGGTAATTGCTTTAATCTCTCCTTCCCTCAACCCTTATTTGGGGTGGGTGGGGGAGAGAATTAGGATTGTTTCCTAATTTTATTTGCAGTGATTCACATAAAAAAGTGGGTGGCAATTTACCACTTCTTAGAAATAGCTAAACTGAAACAATTATTGTCTAGAAATATTATGAAAATTTCACTTCCATCCCTAATTTTAATAAAGTAAACACAAATAAAAAGTTTTTCATGTTCTGAAAAGCACACTAAAAATAATAACAGGGAATTTATTTCCAATTCCAGCTATTCACATGGAGATTAAACAAAATCTGAACAGGACCCCAACACTGTGCTCTTACATAGCACTAATTTTAAGTGGTTCTTGAACTAAAAAGTTCCCAGAGAAATTCCTCTCTTTACAGTATCATGCATCATATACACATTAATCTTCAATAGACTTGGATAAATATCTTTGTACATAGTTGTTCCAAGCTTCTGATCCAATAGATTTGCTGAGAAAGGACTGGATGTGAGTACTATCTTTGCTCGAAGTTATTTCTCAGCTACAGCTTTTCAAATTGTATTTGAAATGGGTTTTAAACTTGTTTTGCTTTGAGAGGGGTTGCCCCCCATGAGAAAAAAAATCAGCTGCATGCAAATATCTTATGTAACTATTTTAATTGCAGCCAGTTTTGAATTTAGCTCTTTAACAGTCTATTTGTACCACCACTCAAATACTCTGGAAACAGTACTTGTGGTACAGAATAATATATACAATATTAAGCATGGCCAACATAGTCTTCATATAATAAAGTAACTGAAGGGATAGTATTGCTTGTTGTTACCTTTGTTCCTTAAAGTGAAAACTTTCTATAACAAAGCTTAGAAATAGTCAGACCACTTCCTCACAACATCTTCTCAATCTATCGGTAACAGATTCATTGTCAAATTCTCAACCACAATAGCAACTCATGTAAGCCACTGTTCCTTTTCTTTGCTATATTTTTCAGACCACTTGTGAGTAAGCTCCAGATAAATATTTGGTTTATGAGGCTGATAATCCAGGTAAGTTGTCAAATCTGTCTTTTTAGGAATGGCCTTTTCAATCTGAGTCCCTTCGTGCCATTCATTAAAAGAGGTGATGGAAATGATCTCAGGTCTTACTAGAAGCGCAGCACTGAATGCCGTCTCGTAATATTTCCCGTTGACACGATTGCGTGTGTTGTGATTGTTCCATGGTCGAATGCTGGTATCTATGTAGCCTGGGCCCACACTTGGAATAAACATTAAGTTTTTTATGTCACAGAAAGCTTTCAAACTGGGCCAATTATGATGGCTTGAACCATAAGAGAAGCCATTTGTGGCAAAATAGGTGTAAATCCCGTCAAAGCCACTTCGATGAATTTCGTGTTTATGTTTTTCTTCTACAAGAAGGGCAATGAATAAGCTGTCATAGGGTGTATTACGTATACTTTGAGATCCCGATACTGTGAGCAGGTTTGCCCACATTTCTGGAATTGTGATGTAAGAATCATAAACATAGAACATGGGAAGGGTTCTACCTGTACTGACTTTATGCCTGTAAAAAGCTGGATGGCCTCCATATCTAAAAGCAAACAAGCAAAAAAAAAAGAAAGAAAGTAAATGTTCCATATACACATTTCTAATCATCTTAAAAGTTACTCTTCCTGCCTCTCTCTCAATTATATTTCATTTCAAATGTCACAAATAGCATTAGATAGGTCTTTAAACACAATTAACTGTAACTCAGCAAAGCAAATTTAATAAATGTAGTCTTATTAGGAAGATAAAATTACCAAATTGCTCTGCTTGTAACCTCTATTTGTTGCTGCATGACACAGTAACAAAAACGACAGCAGTTATATTAAATATTGTGAATTTGAACAAAAAGAATGGGAGTTTAGGTTATTTTAATGAGAACTGTGTCTAGTGACAAGGAATCAATTTTTAATTGATAAATCACCATGAAACTTATAGATAATAAAGTCAAATCAGACAGAATAAAATTATCATATTGATATTCAAATATTACACCAAGTTCTTACTTGTCTATAATATACTTGACATTGCTGTACATGCTACGGTCATCTCTGTCTTTATATGGCTCAATATGGAAAGTGACCTGAAACATAAAAAGGATTTTTTTTTTGTTAAAAAAATGGAGTGTCGCAAAAGAGCAGAAAAAATCTTGAAGTCAGTAGCCCTCGATTTATGAAGAACAGAAATTTTATTTGATATTTGCAACTTTAGCAGAAAAAGAAGGGAAAAAACTAAAAGGGAGATAAACTTTTAGTCCTTTACTTGGGAATGGAGTTTGTCCTGTTGTCACCCAACACAGATTGGTTAGAAAATGGAAAGCATAGCTATTCGGTACAAACATAGAACAAAAATGCTCTATGCTGCAATGTCAATTAATTTTTTGCTTTATTCATTTAATTAATTTCTATGTCCACCCCTCTAAGATAAGTGACTCTGGACAGCAAACAATCATAAACACAATTTAAAACAAGTACAGTATAATGCAACAATAAATATATATGGCAGCCATTATTAACTAAACCAGAAAGAAAGGGCTGGCAGATGACACCCAACAGAAAGTTAATAGCTCTTTAGTATTAAAACGATGTTTTCCTCTGCTGAAAAAATCATCTAAAGACAATGCTATGTTTTAAATCTCTCCATAGAAAGAGAAAATATAAGCACATTGCCAACTCCAATCTGAAGAGCAAATTTAAATGTGCCGACAGTGAAAAGAGAAATGTGGCTGGAATTTAAAATGATCAAGAGTCTCAGTATCATTGCCATTGAAGATTCATTTTTGAGGCATATCTGCCCAATAGTTTCAAAGCCTTGTGCAAAACTGTAGAGGCACTGAGTCATCTAATATTAAATTCACTAGATGATTATTTTATCAGAGAAACAGCATTTCAAGATATTAATGTCTCCAGGAAAAAAAAAAGTACTGATTTGCAAGAAATGCTTAAATTATTAAACATTCAGTTTTAATTAGTGTTGGGATCAATTTTAAGGTTTGGGCAGTTCAAATTATTAAATTTTCCAGTTCAGCAATTTATACCTGAATATATAATTGGATTTACCTTATTAGCAAACAATTTTCCCCAACACATCTGCCCTGCCTCCCTAATCAACCTTATTTTTTGAAAGGAAGAGATAACTGGCAATAATGACAACTCATTATTAAAGAGGCTATGATGGCCATTTCTTCACAAATTTCTAGCCTGAGTACATGTTATCTTTTCCTCAGAATCTGGGACAGAATAGTGTCACTTCCAATTCTGGGTTGGGACAAAATATTGAAATAATGTTTGCAATAATATTTTTAATATTTAAATAATCTAATTATGATTAGATTTAAGGAAACTGTACCCTAGATTTCTCAAATACATGTCAATTATTTTTTTAACTCTTGTATTTTTTTTTTGTAATTTTTTTTTTATTTTTTCCCAACATAAACATAAAAAAGAAAATTATTTCAAGAACAAAGTCTTGGTTCGGTCACAAATGGGTATACTAGTTTAACAAATGAGAGCAAACAATTTTGACATCAATTCCAACATCTTAATAAATCTTTCTATTATCTCATCATACATCTTAATCTCCTACTAAAGCGAAGCTCATTTTTATATTCAATTATAAATTCAATTATAAATCAAAGTTCAATACTGCTCTATCAATTTTTTTCCCTTGCTCCTTTTAACATCAACATTAAACACAAAAACAATCTAATCTATTAATCTATATATTTACCTTACAATTTTATCAAATCTTAATTTCCAGATGTATACAACTCAATTTTTATTACAATTTATTAATCAAAATTTCTTTCTATTTTTCTCGTTTTCTAGATCCAATTCATCCTATCATGTTCTTAAACTTTTACACAGACATCTCAAAATTTACCATTTCATTTTAATTATCACCCAACATTTTCTTTTTCACTCCTTATTAATAATTATTCTTCAATGTATTCTCCTCATTCTCCTCCATCACTCCACCTATTATTTGGCTGATTTCCAGCATAACATATTTTGGCTGAGTTTTCAGCATATTCTCCTCCATTAACTCCAACTACTATTCTGCTAAATTATTTTAAAAATATCTTTTTCAATATGTTGTCTATTAATCTACTGTTTCCAACTATACTCTTCCAGGGTGTGTCCCCATTTATTTCTTAATATTAATCATTTCCAACATATGTTAAATGCAATCACAATTATAACTTCCATCTGTGTACCTTAGTATATCATCTATAATAATTAACAATTAATCATAATTATCATCCACCACTTTGTTAAGTTAAAACTAAAACATATTACAAGTTATGCTTTTATGAAAATATCACTTTCAGTCACCTTAACTTCCCACTTCTATTTTAATTATCTTTCTATCTTTATTTACCATAAACACTTCTTGTTTTTATTTAAAACTCACTTAAACTTTAAACCATTTAAACAATTAAACATTCAAACATTGCTATCTGATTTATCTATTTTGCTTTTTCGTTTCCTTATCTGTCCATAAGCATTTCAATTCAAAGTCAATACTTCCATGATTAAAACTCTGCATATCCTTTTTAATTCTATTATAAAGTCTGTTTCAAGTAAAACATCAGCTTCTCCACTTCTGATCCTGCGCCAAGTCTTTTATTGCTACGCCAGTTAGTTAAAAGTTTATTAGTCATTGTATTTCTTCTTTCTTTGTAAAGCCATTAAACAACAGAATAGGAATCTCCAAAGTTCAAAAAACCAAAGTTCTTTTCAAAGTAATCCACAATATGTAACGAGTCAAATAGGTTCTTTTCAGGAAAAAACAAGTTTCCACAATCAACACTTTCACTTAGTCACAGCTTCAATCACCATTTTGAAACATTTATGTAGCAATCCGTTTGATCTCTTTGTCTGGCTTTTAGAGATGGCAAGTCCTTAATTATCGTTTTTCTCTTTTCAAATTCATTTCGGTTTAATGAGAAAGTTCAAATATCCAGCTCTATTTAGTTAATGAGCAATTCATTCCAATCAATCAGTGGTGAAGTAAAGTTCTTAAAGGGTCTTTAACTTCTTTCCTTATTTTAAAAAACCTTCAAGCCCCTCAGATCGTTAGCCGCTAGGTAAGGCTGGGGATCTTATTTATAAATAACCTTATTAACACATTACTTCTCGCCTGGGTTGGTGTCACTCACCCGGCTCCAAAGCACAGAGTCTTTTCTTCCTTCCTCCTGCATTTTGCTTGTCCCGATTTGTTGCAGTCTCGAGGCAGCCGCCATGGCTGCCGTCCCCCGCCACTGATTTAAAGGGCTGCCTCCGGCCTCCAAAGAACTTGCCCGTTCCTCTCGGCCGCCCAAGGGGTCCCTCTCTTTTCCCATGTCCCTTCAGGACAGGGTAGGTCCGCAGACCTGTCAGCGGCAGTTAGCCAGCCGGGGTTTTGGCGGAGCTTATCAGAGCCTGCCATTTCCCCGACTGCATCTCCGCGACGCCAAACCGGAAGTCCCCTTGTATTTTTTTTTTTCAGGACAATCATTATTTCAGTTTTGACTAAGGACAATTCTTTCAATTTCAAAAGAATTAGAAGTTACTGTCCCTAAGAACAAATTTTGGGATGGAAAAGTCGCACTATATTTACGTATATATTTATCTGGTAATATTTGCTTTGAATTAAGAGGGAAGTGTTGCTTCTAAGAAGATGACTCTACAACTGCTTCAAATAGCTTTCTAACTAGAGTGGTTCAAAATTAAAATTCATTTAAAAGATAGGACTGCTGCACAGTCAGTTTGAATATATATTTATACCGATAACTTATGGAAGGTAACAACATAGCATTTTGTAAGCAGTCTTTTACTGAAATAAATTATTAATGATATTTGATAATACAATAATTATAAATATGACTACTGAGAACTAGTCCAACTGAGTTCAATGGAATTTAATCTGAGAGAAATGGATATAAAATATCAACAAACTTTGCTGCTATAACAATGTAGACTATTTTATTCAACCTATTACAACTAGGTTTTTTTTTTTACAAATTTCAAATACTATACCTTTAATTTATACTTGTGTGCAATATCCAAAATTATAGGCACAAGCCCATCAGTGGGATCTCCATTTTCATCAGCCATAACAGGTGGGTACCAGGAAAGAGCCAAAACCCCTAAGGAATAAAGCATATACCTTTTTATTATAAATTTGAATTGGCACCTCCCCCCCAAAATGTTTTTTTAAAAGCCTCACAACTAATAACCACATTTTGAAGCTTTTATTTAAAGTTTCCGACAAGCCACTTCAGTTATAATAGGCTGATGACGTGTGGACTGCCACAAAGCTCAGTGCTGTCACCTCTCCTGTTTAACATCTACATGAAGCCTTTGGGCGAAAGCATCTGCTGACATGAGGTTGGGTATCTATATATATAAAAGCGAAAACCACTCACGCATTAATCACAAAATCTCCAGAACCGTAAAGCCTACAAACTCGAAATTTGCCACGTATGTTCCTCTTGGCTTTTAGGTGCTCACTAAGGAAGGGTTTTTTGAAATGACCATCAAAAGAGCATTAGTATTTCCTATATTATTATAACACGCTCTGATGCTAATTAGTTAGATGTTCTACTCCCCCTCCCAATTTAAAAATAACTCTGGAGAGAATGGGATTACATAGGACAGGCTTTTGTGGGGCAACCTCATGGAGAGAAGGGGCTAGAAAGCCTGAGGGAGAGAAGGGGATAGGAGAGGAGATGTTTCTGTGAGGCAAGGCTGAGGGAGAGAAGGGAATAGGAGAGGATCTATGGGGCAAGCCTGAAGGAGAAAAAAGGATAGGAGAGGATCTATGAGGCCAAGCCTGAGGGAGAGAAGGGAATATATCAGGGGTGAAATGCTCCCGGTTCGGACCGGCTCGGGCGAGTAGGTAGCGATGGCAGCGGGCAGTTCGGAGAACCGGTAGCAAAAATCCCTGCCCCCGCCCCCCATGCCCAGCTGAGCCCCGCGATCATCAGAGCCTTTTTTTCCTTTTAAATGGCTCTCACCAGCCAAGCTCTAACGATCCCAGCTGAGTTGCCTGCTAATCAGGCAACTCAGCTTGGATCTCCAGAGCCATGTAAAAGAAAAAGTTTATTTTTTCTCCCCCCCCACTCCCAGCCTCCAGCTTGCTTACCTTAGCTGCTGATCGCATGACGATCGCAATCCATGCATCACCAAGCAACTGAATCTCCCTGCCTGCAATCAAGCTCATCAGTGAGCAGCTCTTTCTGCCTGCCTGCCTTGACTTGTGGACTTCAACTCCCAGCAAAGCTGGCTGAGGAATTCTGGGAGTTGAAGTCCACAAGTCTTAAAGTTGCCAAGGTTGGAAACCCATGTTCTATTGGGTAAGTATTTTTCCCCTTTGGGAGCTTTAAAAAAAATAGTTAATTGTGGTTTTTTTTAGTTGTTCTTCTTTTAGACTTAGCCATTTAAAGTTTAGGAAGTTTTAAATTTAGCTGCTTTTATATAAAAATAAAAATAAAATAAAATAAAATAATATTTGTGCAGCTTTGTGAGATTTAGTGTGTTTCTGTAGTCTTTCACTCTTACTTACACAAACACACAAAATCTCACAAAGCTGTATGTGGAATTTTGTGTGTAAAGTGTGAAAGTTGGTTTTTTGGGCTTTTTGTGGCTGTGTGAGGTTCCTGCTTGTTGCGGGGCCATTTTGAGTCTAGCACAGCTGCTTTTACATTGTGGGTGAGCCAGTTGTGTTGTATTGTGTTTTGTAGGTTAAAAAAGGACAAACAAGTGACATTGACTTGGCCACGCCCACCCAGTCACCTTATCACCAAGCCCCACCCACTAATTAAGCCATGCCCACAGAACCAGTAGCAAAAAATTTTAGATTTCACCCCTGGAATATATGGGGCCAGCCTGAGGGAGAGAAGGGGAGAGGAGAGGATCTATGGAGCCAGCCTGAGGGAGAGAAGGGGCTAGGAGAGGATCTATGGGGCCAAGCCTGAGGAAGAGAAGGAGATAGGAGAGGATCTATGAGGCCAAGCCTGAGGGAGAGAAGGGGAGAGGAGAGGAGATGTTTCTGTGAGGCAAGGCTGAGGGAGAGAAGAGGTAGAAGAGGATCTATGGGGCAAGCCTGAAGGAGAGAAAGGGATAGGAGAGGATCTATGAGGCCAAGCCTGAGGGAGAGAAGGGGATCTATGGGGCCAGCCTGAGGAAGAGAAGGGGAGAGCAGATGATCTATGGGGCCAGCCTGAGGGAGAGAAGGGGAGAGGAGAGGATCTATGGGGCCAGCCTGAGGGAGAGAAGGGGAGAGAGGATCTAAGGGGCCAACCTGAGGGAGAGACGGGGAGAGGAGAGGATCTATGGGGCCAGCCTGAGAAGGCGAGAGGAGAGCATCTATGGGCAAGCCTGAGGAAGAGAAGTGGAGAGGAGAGGATCTAAGGGGCCAACCTGAGGGAGAGAAGGGGAGAGGAGAGGCTTCTGTGGGGCCAGGCTGAGGAAGAGAAGGGGAGAGGAGAGATCTATGGGGCAAGCCTGAGGGACAGAAGGGGATAGAGAGGAGAGGCTTCTGTGGGGCAAGCCTGAGGGAGAGAAGGGGAGAGAAGAGGAGAGGCTTCTGTGGGGCTAGCCTGAGGAACAGAAGGGGAGAGGAGAGGCCGATCGTAACTACTCATTAATTTTCAAATTCTGTCGATTTATCAAGCCTGATCACAGTTTCATAGTGGAGCATGGGTATTCAGCTAATCATTAATATGCTGATGATACCAGCTGCACGTTTCAACCTCAAGCTGACCAAGAAATGCATCAAAGACTTTCCATCTTTAGTTTAAACTTGGATAGCATTTTCCAAAATTCACAATTTGAAGGTTCTCCTGGACTCAATTCCTCCTCAAAGAGCAAGTGGCAGTTGTCTCTAGGGAGGCTTTTCCCTAGATTCATCTGTTGCACCACTGCACTATTTTCTTAACTGGGAATCCCTTCTCATAGTCACTAACGACTAGTCTCTAGTGTCAATAATAACATAGTCACTAATGACACTAGTCATAGTCACCTCCTATGTGGACTACTACAATGCTCTCAATAAAAGGCAGCCTTCAAAGACCACTTGGAAACTACAGCTGGTCCAGAAAGCAGTAGTGAAGGAAGTGATTGATGTTCTAATTCTTTCTGGTGTGTGAGGTGCATTGATTGCCAGTTAAGCTTCCAGGCATAAATTATGTTGCTGTTTGTGACCCACAAAGTCTTACCAAATCTAGGGCCCGACTGTCATCAATATCATTGTTTCTGCCGATCTTCTAAGATAGGAAAGAGGGGACATGCTCCCATCTCTAAAACAAGCTCTTCTGATGAGACCTAGTGGTATGATTTCTCTGTTGGGATGTCTGCCTTCTTAAATAGCATTTCCCAGAAAATTAAGGGCCCTGATCTTGCCTTCCTTTATATTGGTCTTGAAGATGGGGATTTTTCTCTGGTTGTAGGCTAGGAAATGTGTGCTGCTGAGTTTGATATGTTAATCTCAGGGCTATTGTATTGGCACTGTATTAGATTGTTTTTATATTATATACAGCCAAAAGTTGAATGGATGTCAATTTGATTTATTAATAAATAACTGGCAAAAAAAGCCATGAGTAATGAGACAGGGTAAGTTCTAACATATAAAGGAAGGGCTTGATAAAAAGGGCTCATGTCTGAAATTACAGGCCAGTTCATCAAGTGACATTCTATACCAGTGGTCCCCAACCTTTTTATCGCCGCGGCCCGCTGAGCGCGCGCAGGGGTGGGGCCACGGCCCAGGAGCCTTTGCGCAGGCCCATTGCGCACGGCCCAGGAGCCTTTGCGCAGGCCCATTGCGCACGGCCCAGGAGCCTTTGCGCAGGCCCATTGTGCACGGCCCAGGAGCCTTTGCGCAGGCCCATTGCGCACGGCCCAGGAGCCTTTGCGCTGCAGCGTTCCTGTCCCCCGGCCGCTGCGCGGCCCGGTGCCAGGTACTCCACGGCCCGGCACCGGTCCGCGGACCGGGGGTTGGGGACCACTGTTCTATACTACTGAACTCTGTGGCTTTTTACTCAGTCTATGAGGAAAAGATCTATGCAATTTACTAAATGATCACATCAAACAGATCTGGGGTGCACATTTTCCATCAGCTCAGAAATCACATTAGGTTTGTATACTGCAGTGAAGGCCACATTCCAAAAACTGGATCAATTAACTTTTTAATATCATTTAACAATAGCAAAATCAGCTATGGCTTTCTCATCAGTAGAGGGCATTAGGACAGTATTTTTTGTTTGTTATTTTTTACCTACAACAACAACACAGCTGTGTTTTGGAACAGATGGAAACATCTTTCTTCTGCTTTTTTAAAAAGCTACTTGTGGTCTTTGGTTAATGCCCTCTTGTTCAGCGACAGTTTGTACTTATGATTGGCCCTCAAAGTTTCAACCACTGCAGCATCCAATAGTTACGATGTATGACTTTTCCTATCAGTTTCCTGCAAGCAATGTCAATGGGGAAGCTGACAGGAAGTCAGACGTCATGGTCATATGAGGTCTTCACTTTATGACCAACAATGATTTGCTTAATAATGGTAATTGGGGACTGCTCTTGCTAACTGGAACAATCAAATGAAGTTGTATTTTACAACTGCATAGTTTAGCATATATATATATATATATATATAGTCCCAATCAGTGTCACTAAATAAGAATTACCCATACTAAAACAAGGGAAATATAAAAATAAAGAGTAAAATAAATAAATACACGAAAATATGGCAAGAACAAGACATTAGACAGGAATGGAGTGAAGGGGTTTCACTCTATTTTGGTAAGCCCTGAGTGAAGAACCAGATCTTCAAGGCCTTTCTAAACATCAGCATGGGTGGAGGGCCTCCGGATCTCGGGGGAACCTCATTCTAGAAGGCAGGCACTGATACAGAGCAAGCATGCTTCCTGGATCCTAATAGATGATATTTTTTAATTGAAGGAGTCTGGAGCACATTGATCCTGATGGAAGCAATCAAGGAGATACAGTCCCTCAAGTAAATCAGGCTCTACGCCAGAGGTCTTCAAACTTAGCAGCTTTAAGACTTGTGAATTCTGGGAGTTGAAGTCCACAAGTCTTAAAGCTGCCAAGTTTGAAGACCTCTACTCTACACCATGTAGAGAAGATTATGGGTAACTACCAGTACCTTGAACTGCACCAGGATGCAAACTCACAAGCCATGCAGCTCATAAAGCAGAGGTGTTACTGAGGTGTTATTTACAAAGCAAAGGTGTTACTGAGGTATGATCATTACTGCTCCCACCACTGTATAAAGCAAGCAAGCAAGCAACCAGTTTGTTTTAGGGAAGTTTTCTGAGAATGAGGAAGGGAAAAGAAAAAATAACAACAACTGCAGGTGAATAAATTGGGTTAGGTGGTGAATAAATGGCCTGGAAGACTGCAAGGCTTTGAGAGGAGACTGAAAGCAAGCAAGCAAGCAAAGGGATGTAGGACAGAGACATGAGCTTTTTTGGGTGGGGGGGGGGGCAGTGAGGGGAAAAGAGATGGAATATTTACCAATGGATGCTGATCTCATTTGCTTCATGTGAGCTTCTATGACAGATGGGTCTCTAGAGCTATAAGGTCCAAGTTCTGGGTAGAAGCTTGATCCAATATCTTCTGGAGGATTGTGTCTGCCTTTTGGATAACCACTTGCAATTTTTGGATCCCAGTGTGTCAATAACGGGTGGTTCCAGTGAATATATTTTCCATCAAACTGTGGAGTCCCATACCAGCTGTAGTAAAATACATGGAAGTTATAATTTGGAGGAGGTAGCTCTTCCATTTTTCTTACAGAAGTTGTAGGTGTTTTGAGATTCATCGGTAGAGGATGAACACTTTTGGTCCGTGGGAAATTATCTTCTTTTGCTCCTTTATGCAGACTGAACTTCTTTTTTAAATGTGTTGTTTGTTGCTGAAAATCTGGTAACAGGCCAAGACCAAATGGATCTCCAAACCCAACTCTTTCTGGTCTCAGAGTTTTCAGTGCCATCATTATAGAGCAAATAAATAAAATAAAAAGCAGCAAAACGATGCATGTTCTCCTGCGAAATCTTGCCATGATATCATGGTAGTTCAGGACACAGGTAGGAAGCGTCCAGCTGCCTGTAAACAAGAAAAAAACATGATTGTAGAGTTTTAAATTTTGCAATCAACTAAAACAAATTCACACTAACATTACAGAATTATTTAATATTTATATATGACCTACAATTTCCTAAGCCCTGAATACATCTTAACATATAGGAAAACACTGAGCTGATTTATGTTGAACTTATCATGTCATCTAGTACAACACTATCAGTATTGATCATAGCACTCCAATTCTCTAAGGCTACAGTTCTCACTTTTTCATGTTATGATCCATTATCAATTTGATCAAAAACATCTGAATTTTCCCTAACCCCCATGATAGAAACAAAAATAATACTTTATTGTAAAGAAGAAGTTAATATTAGAGACACAGAATATTGAGCTTAATTATCTAATTATTGCTTCCAACTCTATGTTTTATTATTTCAGGATATTAAGAAATTGCATTGCTATGTGGAATATTTTTACTGTTGACTTTAAAACACAAACTAAAGTAATAATTCTGTTAAAAGTGGAAAAGCAAAGCAAAAAGGAGAAGTTAAGAAGGAGCTGACTTAGGGAGATATCTGCTGTTTTGCAAAAAACATTAAGGATGGAAAACAACAAGACAAATCGTGCTTCTAGCTGTTGCTTGCAAATAATACAGGAAAGAACACAATAAATGCTGAGGGGTGCAAATAGAAAGATTGAGGGTAGTGATGTTCAGACAACAGCAGAGGTGCAATGAAGAAAAGCTCTTCATTTTATTAGTCTCCCTCCATGTTCAGTCAGTCAGTCAGTCAGTCAGTCAGTCAGTCAGTCAGTCAGTCAGTCAATCTTCCCTTGCTTCTTGCAACTGCTTGCAAACTAGTTCAACAAGGTGATCAATGAGTATGTGAAAGAAGTAGCTCAAAGCCCTTCTCAAGCCTAAATAATTGGGAAGTGCTTCCCATTGTTTAGAGGTGTAGGCATCTCAAAGGTGTCAAACTCAAGGCCTACGGTCTGGATACGGCCTGCGGGGTGCTTAAATCTGGCCTGTGGGGCCAGCCTGGAAATAGCAAAGGACTGGTCCATGGTGCTTCTGCTAGCAAAAATAGGGCCTCTGCTAGCGAAACTTGGTCCCCCCGGGCCCCATTTTTGGCCTAGACAGCCTCCTGCAGCACCCTGCCGGCCAAAATGGGGCACAGGGGACCGCGGCAAAGTGCTATAGGAGGCCTTCCAGGCCGAAAATGGGGTGTGGGGTGTACACACAGCCCCCCAAGTCCCATTTTGGCTGGCAAAGTGCTGCAGGAGGCCATCTAGGCTGAATATGGGACGTGTGGGTGCACATAGCCCCCCATGCCCCGTTTTGGCTGTCAGGGTGCTGCAGGAGGTGTCCCTCCTTTCTCCCCATCTCACCAGCCCATGGAGAACTCCAGCTCTCTAAGAAATCCAGTTTGACCCGGCTGCACTATCTCATCTACATAAACAATATCCCAGGCTATCTGAAAATGTCTCCGGCTGATTTGCTAGGATGGGGTAATGAGGAGATTCAGAGGCAAGGAAGGGCAGAATTACAAATTCAGTGTTGTTGTTGTTTTCAGTGCAAGACCCATTTGTTTATGGGTCATGAAAGCCAGGGATCTTGTGGCACAATGCAACAATGTTTCTTTCATTATTTGTCTGTCTGGGATCTTCTACACATAAAGCAACTGTTCTAACCTTGAGACAAGGAACTCTTTATCTGTAAAAGATAAAACAGTCCCAACCCAGGATAATATTTAACAGGTTGAAAGAAAAAGCAGAGGGAATGAGAAAAGAACACAAACGTGAAAACAAGCACAGCTTCATTGATTAATGAAAGAAGGCTGGTCTTGTTTGCCATTCTCTCAATAAGTGGTTCATTGCCTCCCATGATCTCCTAGTTGACACACCTCTCTTTATTTCTATAACTTTAAGTATCTCATTTGATATAAAGAGATAGATTGATATGAACATCTTGATAAAACAGTGCATTTATTCAAAAGAAAAAAAAATGCTAAGACTTGTTATCAAACAATATATGCACTTTTTACAAGACACAGCTTCATATCTTTTATTCTGTTAATTAAAATTGACAGATAGACATTATTCTTTAAATATTTGGTCCTACTGAATCATTTTCCAATAAGAAAACAAATCTCAAATTTGGTTTTTGCGATATCTTAAAAGCAGTGGTGAAATTCAATTTTTTTTTACTACTGGTTCTGTGGGCGTGGCTTGGTGGGCGTGGCAGGGGAAGGATACTGCAAAATCTCCATTTCCACCCCACTCCAGGGGAAGGTTACTGCAAAATCCCCATTCCCTCCCCACTCCTAGGGGAAGGATATTGCAAAATCTCTATTCCCTCCCCATTCTGGGGCCAGCCAGAGGTGGCATTTGCTGGTTCTCCTGCAATTTTGAACTACTCAAAATTTCCACTACGCCTTCTCCAGCTCCTGTCAGAACCTGCTGAATTTCACCCCTGCTTAAAAGGTGCATTGGGGAAAGTACATTAGACACACCCTCTCCACCCAAATAATGATTTAGGAATACATCTGTCTTTCTGAAGCATGCACTATTTGAATTTCTATCCTGACCCTGGGCACAGTTCTGTTTTTCCCATTATTAGTACTTTGAGGATTGAAGAGGATGGGAAAATCCGAAACCATTTATGGTATGTGATTTCTCTGACAACAAGAACCACTGTAATACAAGCATATACCCTTAGCTTTCCCTCTACTAGTCTCAAAGGATTGGTATGTTCAAGTCAGTAGAAAAAGAACAAAACATCTCCATTCTGAGACACATTTACTTTACTATCTGTAACATGGAGACAAGACGCAAAGGATAAAGAATTTCCATACATTTCCCAGTTTATATTGCCACCCAACTAGTAATTCCAACTGTGGATGCCTGACAATGAATTACAAGCAAGTAAACAAATGAAAGCTGTAACAAAACCCAAGAAGGCAAATGCAAAATGTAACATGCCTAAGTCAACCACGATCATTCTCTTAACCTTTAAAGAATGAGCCCATCTAAGGACCTGTCCCAAGACCTGGGAGACAAGCCAGGTTTTCAAAGCCTTATGAAAGGCTAGCAAGGCCAGGCCTATCTGAATCCGAGGAGGGAAGAAATCCTTCTTCTTAGGGCAGAGGCTATGACAGAGAAAGTATACTTTCTGAGTCCCCTTGGATGGCATGGTTTATTTATACAGGAAACCCAAACCTTGCCCGCTCTGTTGGGTTTATGGGATGGAGAGAAATAATTGGAGATAAGTAATAATCCAGAATAACCTAGCCCTGAATCATGAAGGACTTTGTAATTGGAAATTTAGAGTTTGAATTGTATCTGAAAATCAGATACTGGGAGGTAATGCAGCTCATGAAGCGCTAGTGAAGCTTTAGTGTTATATAGGTGTATCATGGTGCTTCATAAGTACCTACAGCTGTAACTTTCAAGGTTTTAAATTTTTTTTTATAAATACCTCAAGGCAGGAAGCATATATAATACATTTTCTTTCTCTTATTTTCCCCGCAATCGTATGAGGTGGGTTGGACTGAGAGAGGGACTGGCTCAAGCTCACTCTAGATTTAGTCAAATGCCCTCCTGGCCATGGCCATTTACTCTTCCAGCAGGAGCTGAGACTGCAAGAGAAACCCCAAATTATCCACTAGTTTTGTCTTGGAGAGCGATAATCTATCCAGAATTTTAAAGACAATTTCTTCAACTGGTTACTTCTGTAATTCAACATTGTTCAGAATTCTGACTTTTTTTTGTTTAAATGTAACATTATAATGATTGTTTACAGTATTAAAGTATTAAAACTTCAACTGTAAAATAATTTGATCATTAAGCAACACAAATCAAGGTTTCAAATCTGTTTCCCCCCCCCCCAAAATAGTATTTCACCGAGATTCACTGTTTTATGTATTTTTATGATAATTGTATCATTTTAAATATGTAATAAATAGTTTGGACAAATGGATTGAATGTTGAGATAAAATAAAATAACTTATTCTCCACACAGAATAAGCAGCATCAGCAATGTTTAGATTTTAGATATATTTAGATTTACATCTAAATATAATCTATTATCATGGAGAACATGACATATGTTGTCACAAAGATAAATAATGCACAAAAAAAGGTACGACATAACTCATTTATCTTTGACAATTTTACCTCTGCTAAAAGCCAGGAGAAATTAGATTAGATAAAGAGAAGTTGAATGTTTTCCCTGTGTGCTTTCTGAACGGGTAAAAACACAGGAGGATGGAGAAATAAGAGTTGTTATGGGTGTTCAAAACATAAACATTTAATGATCAATCCCTTGTGATCTACCATTCAGTTTCAGAAAGGCTAGAAGTCAGCAAATCTGCCTATAACTTGTGCTTTACTAAGTTCCAAAAGTATGTAGTTCAATAGTTACAGTGACAAAATTGAAGGTAATATTAAGCCACTTTAACTCTCCATGTTCATCCAAAGCAGGTTTACAATATTTTACAAGTCTCGCAATATGGGGTCTTAATTTCGAGATTATTACAGCTCTCCCAATTCCCAGGCAACATAGTCAACAAAATTGGCAACTAAGGCAATATGTATGTAGAACGTAAAAAAACCAACCCAATGGTAATTTGAATATATAGAAAAACAAGGTGAATTCTGATTGAGATCTTCTACTAACATGGCTTTCATCAGCAGAAAATGAAAAATAATTTTTCTGCTTCAGAGGATTGAGGGAAGCAATATCATGCACAAGCAAAATATCGAAAGAGCAACTTTATGAAATAATACATCTTTAAAATTGGTCAACAAAAGAAAAAAATCACATATTGCTCTTAGCTTGCATGGCAACTGCAAGAAACAAAATCAATTAAAAATTTCTACCTTTCTGCAGCCCCTGAGCTTGGCCCTACCAATGTCTACCCAGGTGGGTATTCTGGAATCTGAACAATATTGAAATCTTGATTCTCCAGAATGAATACAAGATCCCAAGATCATAGGGGATTGCAATTAGCTAATCGTTAAAGAAATAAATTATTTATAGACGATTGGGCAAATGCCTACATTTTATTCATTTGTGCAATTAATTAAAATGATAACCTTTATTAGAATCATGTAGCATTTTGGATTTGAAGCTCAAAGGGGTATTCTCTACCACTTGTAAAGCAGTTAGGTCTTGCGCTGGGGTCATGAGACTGCAGCTGCCCCACAAATCCATGAAAATATGTCTACTATAAACAGATTGGTGCTATTGTAAGAGAAGAACCTGTTATGGTGGCAAAAAATCAGAAGTATTACAATATAAAATGTGCTAGAGGAGAAGGTGCTATTAGATTGATTCTACATGAATGTCCCTGTATTTTCTAAAGCACCTTTGTCTTTAAATCTAAAATGTTGCAAAACCCTAATCTCTATCATACTTTTCCCATGTTCATGTTTTTTCTTATTCCTAGTTACAACAATTCTGTGAAGCAGCTTCCAGAAGAACAGATATATTCACGATACATAAAACAAAAATAAAGCATACATGTGTTAAGGCATAAGCTTCTTGATGTGAATCGTAGTTGATAAAAGCTTATGCCACACGACACACGGATCAAGTCTGTAAAAGGCCAGGAGGTCTAGGCTAAGACATAATCATGGCTGGGTCCAACGCTGAACCACACACACTCATATTGTGAAATTGACCTTGGCTGATCTTGAAAAGCACTTCTTCAAGTTCAGCCGCCTTCGGAAACAGCACAACGCATCGATCCTTATTAGCAGAGGGAAAGGAGACCACTGAGAAATCCCAGGCTACATAGGACGGAGATGGAAGTCCAGAAGAACAACCTAGGAAGAAGCTAAAGGCAAAAAGCCTTTCTTATTACGGAGATGTTCAGGAGGTTCTCAAGGATAGAGCTGGATTGGAGAGACTTAATCTTACCTTTCCAGATAGCTCTGTCTCCTCCCACCCCCCTTCTCTTTCTCACACACACACACATACTCACTCACTCACACACACAGAGGAGCTGAAGAAGCTTCTTGGAGGAGAAGTGAAACGTCTTCAAAGAAAAACCAGAAAGTCCAGTTGCCTCTTGAAAAAACACCTTTGCAACAACCATGATCTAGATGACTGAGAATCTCCATAGACACACACACACACACACACAAAACTGATATTCACGTAACCACCCAAGCTGAGTAAACCGATATCTGGCCTAATTATTGCTCTACACAGCCAGCCCAAAGGCTCCTGGTTTGCTGCTTTTAATAGCTCTGCACCTGACCGGGGGAGCCCTCTTCCACTCGAGATCCCCGCAAGGGCTGCGCAGGCAGAGGCTGGGGCTCTCCTTCCTCGCAACCGATGGGCAGAGTGGGAGGGGGGTGTATCTATCCTTCCTCCCCCCCCCCAGGACTTCCCGCCCCCTCCGCGTTATCCCTAGGCAAGCGGGCTAATGGGAAGACCGCGGGAGAGGAGGCGGCGGAGGCGGCATCCGCAGCAAGCGGTACACCCCCTGGCGCCTTCCTCCTTGCTACTCACCCGTCTGCAGAACCGGACTGAAAAGTTCAAGCAAGGATTCGAAAGAAGGGGAGGGGGAGCGAAGGCGGAGGAGGAGGAGGCGGAGTGGTGGGGGGGGGAGATTTAAAATGGACCGATCGGGGGAGGAAACACAGGCTCAGGGTTACCAAGCCTCTTTGGTAGGGGGAGCCAACTTTGGAGTTGGCTCCCCCTAGCCTTTGCGGTTGTCCTCTCCATCGGAGCATGCGCAGTTCCCAAGGTAGAAGGCACGTTGCCCTTAACTCCAGGAAAGCAGTAAAGTTACTCTGATTAGGCGTCTCTTTCTTTGTTGGCACAACCGAACTACCTTCGGGCTTTTTTTTTTTTTTTCCTTCTTCTTCTCCGGAAGTATTGAGGCTCGCGACCTGCTGAGTTCGCAAGCGTGTGAATTAATTTTCTCGCTTAAGCGCCCATTCGCGGGCCTCTTGATAAAAGTGCTCAGAAGTCCACTGGGGGTTTTTAACCTCCTTGCAAACGCGAAGGTGTCATCTTCACTAATGCAGTGTTGCGGGTCTCCACGTGTGTTGGGTTTTAATTCCGTTCTTAGCTTTTTTTAGCTGCAGTGGAGCTGTGATCGTACATATCTGGCAGGTGTTACATTAGAAAAGGAGACATGCATATTTTTATTTTTATTTTTGCTTAACTGTTACAGAATACACGATGGGCTTTTTCTAAAACAAATCGAAGAGTGGTAAATAACGAACCAGAAAAATAAACCTAATTCTTAGACTATTTGACAGAAAAAAAAAATGATACCGGTAGTAAGATCTGTTCTTATGGACTGTACATCTGCTGTATCCTATTTGCTGAATGTGATTATCGGTATTTATCAAAATAGAACTGAACATTAATATGTATTTCTACGTAAAGTTTTCTGTACCTTGTTTCTGAGATTAATCAAGGGGCTAGTATGTTGGAGCAAAAATGCATTTGTGAGGATCTCCCCTGAATTAAAGTTTAAATCACAGATTAGGGCAAATGCATGCACCCTGTTTAGCAATGCAGTTGGTCCTTGTGATGAAATAAGAATGGAGTAGATTGTGCTGGGCTGTGACACAAGAGGAGCTGCAAATACAATGCAATGGAGTATAAAATAAATAAACCAGCCCAACAGGTTTGTACTGTTCATGTTTCTAGTATCTCAGGTAAAAGATTGCAAAAAAAGAGAGAGAAAGAAAGAAAGAGAAAGAAAAAGAGAGAAAGAAAAAAAAAAGAGAAAGAAAGAAAGTCAGGAAAGCATTCAATGTGGCTTCTGGAATTACGGTACTACAAAAGTTTCTGAGTCATCAGATGGGGAGGAAAAGGGAGGAGGCTTAGAATGGAGGAGTTTGCAACATTCCAATTCTTTGCCCAATTGCCTCTTCCAGAGGGCATCAAAAGCACAATTACTGCTTTTTTTCCTAGCATTCCCCCTCTTTTCTCCTTTTTCCTGTCTTTTCTGATCTCTGTTTCTATTTGTAGTTTTATATTATAATAAATTTTAATTTTTTAAAAAACCAAGTTTAAAAACTCTTCCTGACCTCCCCATATCTCTCACACATTCTCAGGTAACCCCCCCCCGACCCCCCCCGCACCTGCCCTAACCTGTTCTTCACTTCTCATACACTCTTTTGCACCTTGCTATGCACTGATTTCAATCCTCACCACACCTCACACAATCTCTTAAACCCTTGCATACCCTCCTCGACCTACATATGCATTCCATGTACCCCTTGCTCCCTTCCTCGCCTGCTACAGCTTACCTACCTACTGGTCTGGGGCTTACTATTTCCTGCTGGCTTCCACACTAACTCTAGTTGGGAGAACCCACAAGAAGTTGCCTCACCTAAAGACAGAGGCACTCTGTTAACAATGGCAACTGGGATTGCAGGGATTGCTGTTGCTAAGCAATATGGAAATTCTGGTCCTAATTGTGTTGTAAGTTAAGGAAGTTGTACATACAAATTCTAAAGCACTTCTCATTCATTTCTGAACCTTACATGGTTTTAATATTTGGGCCTCCAAAATGTGTTTTTTGGGGCTTAAAAGAAACAATACTATATTATAAGTTTGCATTTGGCTATTAAAAGTTTTACCTCAAAATGAATTCTGGATTTGTTCTAATGATTAAAGAGTTCACTTTTTGTATAATTTCAGCAAACATCATATTACAAGAAGACTTTCTATATCATTTGAAGGTATGACTTTGAGGATTCTTACTTTTCCACAGTTAGGCAACTTTATTACATTCAAGTTCACCTCTTTTTACCCCTTTTTACTGGTAAAATTATCTTTAAATTAGTTACATTACATTGTAGTTTTTAACCCCTCGTACATTCAGCAAGCTGTATTTCTGTCTAGTGTCCAAATCTTGTCATGAAGAAACTTTACTTTTGGACAAATTTTTAACATATATAAAGCAATCACTATGATTTACCTGATGTATCAACTTTATGTGCTTTTTCTATCTGGTGCAATGTTACCATCTACTTTTAACACCTGAGTTGGCCAGCTGATAATAAATGATTCTATATTAAGTCTAGCACATTTCTCAGTAAAACCTTGAACTGTTATATCTCTGTCTGCTTTCCAGGTCCCCAATTTTATGGCTCAAATCAATTTCATTTTTATGTCATCTCACTTCCTCCCAGAATGTTATTCTCAGCATTATTACTTACTCAGCCATGGTTGCTGAATCATTTAGTTTATCTCCAGTAGCTTTAATTTCTTGCTGAAGAATTTTCATTTTCAGAATTAAGTGCTTCTGGTTATATTTTATTTCTCCCATTCAAAATAAATGATCTAATTCAGCTGCAGCATTCATCTCCTCACACATTAAGTTCAATTGCTGTCCATTCGTCTGTCTTCTCAGTGGCCCCAGACAGTAGAAATTGCGATGATGAGAGATCAGTTAATATCTTCAAATTGGCTGAGTGGGTCAGATCAGAACTTTAAGTTGTAGAGTGCAAATGCAGATCGAGAAGCTTAATTTACTTAATTTATAAGGCTGCCTAATTCAACATGACTGGACAATGGGCAAATTTAAAAGCAGATAGAACAATTGACAAAAGAGATGGCAAATGACAGAAAAATCAAACTGATTTCCCTAGCAGCATCCATTATTCATATTAGTCCAAGAGCCAGGTTTTAAGAACTATTTAAAAATAGGATCAGCTGCTGTTCCAGATAGTAGGAGTGATGACAGAGAAGGCATGCGTCCAAGTTCCATCAGATCACATTATATTATCAATGGGACTTGAGCATACTGATCCTGCACACATAAGATGGAATAGAATGGACAAATACCGTGGGAGATAGATCAAGTAGTTAGACCTTATGTCAGGAAGGTTAGAACCAGCACCTTGACTTGTACCTGTAAAACCTATTGTTAACTATTGCAGTTCCTAAAGCAGAATGTTATGTAGACATCCCAAAGCTTGTCAATATATTGTCTGGCCTGCCATGAACTGAATTATTTTCAGCGTTAAAACTTTTTTCATGTATTGCATTTAAACAGTCCAATAGAAAGAGAAGTAACTTTTTCAAACCATTGTGTAACTGGGCATGTATCCTTTGAAATGTGTTTGAATATTAGTAGCTCGGGTTGGTAGTTAGGCTGTCGGTTTGTATCCTTTTAATCTTATAACATCGTTTTTTTAGATTTGCAATCATAAGAGCACCCAATATTCATTTCTCTTGTCCGTCTGCTAATTTCAGAACTAATGACATATAATTCAGAATAATGTAAGTATCTTTAAAACCTAATGAATAAAAGTAATAGTGAAACGGCTTCTGTCCAAATGACATCACAACAGCATCAGACCATACTGTTTGCAATCCAAGTACATTTTAAGTAATTCATTGAGGTTATCAGTTCCTTCCTGTAAAACATAGAAGCATTCAACAGTTGCAATAAAATGTTTTTATTGTAATGGTAATTTTACCTCTTTATAGATGCCAATGAATATCCATTGACATTCTTCTTCCAGAGTTTCCATTTTTTTGTTTAATAACCAATTTAGTATTTAATACTTGTTTATAAATACTTATCATAGATTCCTAGTTTGTAAAGAATGTATTAAATCCTGTGGTATTGAAAAGGGTTCTGATATTTATACTCACAATCTAATCCAATTTATTACGATACACAGTCTTTTTGTCTATTTAATTTCTCCTATTTTCAAGTTTTGGGTTCCCCAATGGTAATTTATCACTAGGATCATACTGGGGCTGGTTTAGTATTGTACATCATTCCTCCATAGCAGCTAATTCCATATTTTATGAAGTAATTGGATTTTAATACTCTCTAAGTTAATGAAACTAAGCTTCAGTAGTTATGCCTTCATTAAGGTAAGAAACATTTGCCATAACTGTTCTGACAGTTAAAGCTTTCTGATTGAAAATTGAAGGAAATTTCCCCAAATTAACTCTGAATCAGTGAACTAAATTTCTGAAAATATGTTTTAGGGCTTTATTTTTGAAATATTCATTATATCTTACATTCTTAGTTTAAGTGATCCAGATGCATTGCTATTGAATTTAGATTTAGTTTAATCAGCAGATACATGCCTTGAGATATTCTCAGTCCAAGAGAAGTTATTGTCTCTGCAGCAACCTGGAACAGCAGAAAAGGAAAATGGAGCATCTATACAAAATATTCCAACAAAATGGCTATCTACATAGCACAAATGTTATACCAAGATGATACATGGATTGATTAAAAAATGTACAGGAATACTAGAGGAATAATAGTAAAGTAAAAAATGAAATTGGAAATGAAGACGTATGTAAATAGAAATCGGGTCTGCTCGAATACCATCTCAGATTGAATTAAAAAAAGGAAACAACAAAGGAATGG